TTTTACTGCAATGGCTTTTATATAGTATCAGGCTCTCAGTGTACCATCATCTTTTCCAAATGTATTTCTACTTTTGCATTTTTGTTTAGCAAAACCAATAGTCAGGAAATCTTCATTTTAAGTGAAACTTTTATTAAGTCAACAGTGGTGTTTGACAGCAACTGATAAAATGTACAACTATTAATCTAAGACCCTGTATATTATGTGTAATCAAAATCCCTTTAACAGATAAAACGTGTGTATAAAAAATTATTTAATGGGAGGGGATTCCTTAACTCTGTACTTTTAGAGATTAACAAAAAACCAAAAAAGATAGCACCTTGATTTATACTGGCAACCTGACTAGCTAAGGTTTGTAAACTACCCACTGCATAGAAATAAATCAATTCTTAGATTGGCCTTTCTACCCAAGACACCTGAACTCTCACTTCTTTTCAGGAGAAAATGAGGAAGTTAAAGGTTTCATACCTAGTTTTAATTTCTGATCTATTTGTGGCTGTCATTCCTTGCTCCAGCGTTCCCACCTGGTCTGCCACTGGTCTTTTTTTTTTTTTTTTTAAATCTTTTACTATTCTATTTTCAAACTATAACTAACTCTTTGTCATTGAGAGCCTATTAATGGAAATGCCTTGTTTTCTTATTTCCACTCTTGGTCCTGTCCCTTAGCTCCTGCGATCCAGCTCCTCTGAGAGGTTTCTATTCAGACTGGTTACATTCCAGCACACTAACAGTACAGGGTCTCTGGTGGTCGCTTTTCTGTGAGGTTACCCAGTGCTGCCATCTTGCTCTCCTCATTCTACACAAGAAGGAGAAGCAGACCTAGCCAGTTGATCTGTGCTCTCTGTCCTTCCATGTTGTAGTATGCACTTTGTGGCCCAGTTCACTTTGGCCTAAGCTCATGTGCAAAATTTCTTCCACTTATTTTTATTTTTAAAAATCAGTGAGCAGGTGAATGTTATGGCATACGTATTTTCATCACTGTTTTTTTTTTTTTTAATCTGTGAGGTACATAAAGTGCATAAATCTTAACTGTACAGTTTCAGATGCTTTTAAGTAAGTATATATCCATTATCCTCCTGCCCATTCCCAGGTATGTCTACGTCCTAGGTCCAAGTAATCATTCGTCTGAGTTCTATCAACAGGAAGCTAATTAATTCTTACTTACTGCCTCTCCTTTTTTCTCAGGAGGTGAGGGGTTTGCTGTGAATTATTCTTTCTTCACCCTATGGTGTTAAGATCCAAACACTTTTTTGGTGTGTAGGGAAATGGGAGTGAGAGAGGTAACACAAAGGCCTGTATATGGTAGTTTTAGGCCAATCCTGTACATGCAATGGGTACTGGGGGTTGGGGAGCAAAAAAGGAAACTGAGTCTCTTACTGAGGGGGGATCCTAAACATTCAATTCCAAAAGTGGCTGTGGCTACTATTAGCAGAAAAGGCTTCATGTTTTGGTCAAACTTGGCTTGTCTCAGACCTCAGAAGGTAAGTACAAGAACATGTCAACTAGAAAGTTAGTCTAGTGGATGTACCAGTAATGAATGATGAATAGAGAAATACAAATAAAGAAGTTTTAATTATACAGGAAGACCTTAGGTGGAATAAAGAGGCCTCAGGTGAGATCTGAGATCAGAAGTCCTTTCATAACATAAATGTCTAAATTTTAGAAGAGTGGAATGTCAAATCTCTGATAAAGAGCATCTATGTGTAGCATATATACAACTAACCTCCTAATGAAAGATTTCTCCTGAGATTTTATGTTCACAGACTATGGGCTCTAGACAAGAGGCATGCTTGTAAAGCTAAAACTGAGAGTTTTCTATTTTTAGGTTTACCTCTTTTCTCTAGGAAAAACAGCTGGTCACAGTATGATGTTTACTTGGACAATCTTTTCTGGCTATAAGCCTAGTCCTACAATCTTATCTGCCTTGTAGATCATTTGGAGCTTTGCAAAACCAAAGCATATGAAAATAAAAGAAACAAAACAAAACAAAACAAAACCTAAAGCTAAATTAACTGGAGGTAACAAAAACACTACATTAGTTCTGGTGGAAGACAACCCAAACTGCCGCTCCTGAAGAACTAAAATGCCTAGTTAGGTCTGCAGGGAAACAATTCTCTGGATGAAACTTGGAGAAAAATGAGAAAAGAAAAGAAATAAAAAAAAAAAAGAAGAAGAAACATAAACTTTAATTCTCTTTGGGAACAAGCACTTCAATTCCTTTGTTGCTAAATGGAAGGGTAAAAATGTAATGTAAAAATGTAATCAAGGAAAGGGGTATCCTGTGGGTTGCCCACATGGGCTCTGTGATCATTCTAATCAAAAGTTTCAAATTCCTCTCCACTAAGGGATGGCAGTCCTAATTGCAAAGAGATGAAAATCAGCAATCTACTTCAGGGTAGCAAACTACAGCTCCCTGCTTTTGTATAATGCACGATCTAAGAATTATTTTTACATTTTAAAAGAAGTTTTCAAAAACAAAGATGAATACGTGACAAGGCCCTTTGCAGAAAAAGTTTGTCAACCTCTGATGTCACATATATGGTGGACTTAGAATTAACTTCGTTGTTTCTTCATTTACTTTTCAATTCTTTGTATTATACAGAAAAAAAAAATGCTCGGAGAGGGTAGTTTTTGCAGAAAGCACTGAAAACAGAATTACACACACAGCAACTATTTCTACAGACATAAATAGTTGCTCGGGGGAGCAGTTTAAGCAATTATCAGAGTCTCACTATTGGGTCTTGATGAGAGTTCACAGTAAGTAAGGAATCTTGGCTACTACTGTTCCTAGGATATACTGAGAGCCCACCCTGTGGCCGGAATTGTGCTAAAGCAAAGGTTATCTCAAATAACCTTCAAAATGGCCTTGCCAGAGGCATTACCTTTATTTTTCACAGGAGTAAGTGTGCATACGTAATATAAACACCACCAGAATGAACTAAGAGTATAGAGAATCGTTTAATAATACAAAATGCACACTACCATCACAATAATTCGGCTCCTAGGGCAGTATACTTTCGTTCCTGTTTTCAAAGCAAGGTAGCAATAACAAATAGTGTCAAGAACTGAATATTAATACCTTCACAAATAGGGGTTAATAAGAGTGTGAGGAATATGAAACAGCTTTAATCACCTGCACTAATTGTATATACATGCATACTTCTTTTTTTTTTTTTTTTGCCTCGTCTGGGGCAATGTCCACACCAAGGTGGTTCCTGTTTTTATACATGATAAGTGGGGGCACCTGTGAGAGGGCAGTCAGAAAAGTACTCAAAGGCCAGGGTTACAGTTGGGGGTGGCCTGACTAAATAGTTCCTGGTTAGAGAGCAGCAGGACCAAGGGGAGGCGCAGGCTCCGCAGTTCTCCCGTCCGAGTTCGGGGGGCTGCCTCGCTCGTGAGGGCGTGCGTTCTCTATGCAAGCCTCTCCCCTTCCAATTACCGCACCAATGCGGGGCCTAGGGGAGGGAGTGTGTCCTGAGGACCTACCTCTCCCCCAAACTATTCCCCATCACCCCCGGGAATGACAAGTGCTGCAGGTCTGCTCCCAGGGACCGACGTTCTAACACACTTCCCCCACCTCCACCCCGACACAACCTCGGGGGAGCTGAGGCCCGAGGACTCTCCTCCCGACACCGCCCCCGCGGCCACCCGCACCTTAATAGGCTTGGTATCGTTGGGGCTGAGACACTGGCCGTGCATTTCCTCCATGGCCTTGCAGGCCTGCGAGCTGCGGGCAAATTTGACGAAAGCGATGCCCTTGGACTCCTTGGTGTGTTTGTCTCGCACCACCCAGATATCCTGGATCTCGCCGAAGGGCGAGAAACGCTCCCTAAGCACTGACTCGGGCGTGTACTTGCTGATCACTAGGAAGATACGGCTGTTGGGCGGCTCATCAAGGCTGTTTACACCCGGGCGGAACCCTCCGCCGCTCGCACAGCCGCCGGCTTCGTCCATTGCTCTCCACCTCAGCCCTGGTCTGCCTTCAGCACTAGTTGCTTCAGCAGTGCCAACAACGGCCGCAGTAGCACACCCAGCCGTTACGGGGCCGGCACTCCGCCTCCGGAAGACGGAGTCCGGCGCGGCAATGTTGGGCCACGCAGGACGTCAGCTTCCGGGGTGAAGCCTATAGCGCCCACTGGCGGCGCGGGGTAGCCTGACTGGGTTTATCTTTCCAATCCCCGAGCATCGAGGCTTAATAGGTGTGCAATACTTGTCCCTGGAGGCCAAAACTGCCAGATGCACAGAATTTTCCAGTGCAGGCTTCACTTCACCGCAAGAGCCCAAAGAGTCTTCCCTAAAATTTGCCATTTTAATCATAAGCACACTTGAGGGCCACTATAAAAACAAACTGTCATCGAGTCGATTCCGAATCATAATGACCCACTTTGGGTTTCCCAGGCCGTACATCTTCACCGAAATAGATTGCCCAGTTTTCCTTCCGCCCAGTCCTCTTTCCCTGGAGTGCTTGGTGGGTTTGAACTGCCAACCTTTTGATTGGCAGTCAAATGCCTTGGGGACTACACCACCAGGGTCACTATAGGGGAGAGTTAAAATCATGCAGCCTGAGAGCTGAAATGAACCTTTGAGATCATCCAATACCAGCCTTATTTGAAAACAAACCAAACCCACTGCCGTACAGTCAATTCCAACTCATAGCTACCCTATTGGGTTTCTGAGGCCGTAAATCTTTTGTTTTGTTTTATCTTTTTTTTTTGTTTTGCAATTGTGATTTGGGTGAAAATTTACAGAGCAAATTCACTCTCCGTACAGCAGTTCACATACACTGTCTCATGACATTGATTACAATTTACCACAATGCAACACCTCCCTTCCCACTTCCTTCCAATTGTTACCTCTTCCCTGTGTCCATCCCTCCATGCATTCCTGCACCATGAGCTGTCTCCCTGTGCATAAACAGCCATTCTTTCTCCTATAATTGATCTCTCCAAGGAGTGTATCTACCTCAGATAAATGTTCAAGTCATATGCCTGTCCCTTGTTTGGCTGGAGGCCACAGGAGTGGGTTCAATTCCAGACCAGAAGGGCAGATAGGGGCCACAGTCTCAGTGGTTCCACCAGGTTCTATCAGACCAGCAAAACTGGTCCCCCTTTTTCTTCTTCTTTCTTTTTTTTAAATGATTTTGAGTTTTCTTTCACATTGTTCTCCTACTCTATCCAGGATCTCCTACATAGATCCCCTCTGAGTGGTTGACAGTAGTAGCCAGGCACCATCTAGTTCCTCCGGTCTCATAGTCGTATAGGCTGTGGATTGCATGGTGTACCAGTCTCTAGGACTAATTGTTTCCGTAAGGCCGTAAATCTTTACAGAAGTAGATTGCCCAATCTTCCTTCTGCAGAGTGGCTAGTAGATTTGGACCGCCAACCTTCTGGTTAGCAGTCAAATGCTTTAGGCACAGCACCACCAGAGTTCCTTAGTGATATGGATGTAGTTGTTGTTGTTATGTGCCATCAAGTTGGACCTGACTCATAGCGACCCCTCCTTGGGTTTCCAATGGCCAAGGCCGAATCACTACGGAAGTAGATTGCCCAACCTTCCTTCCGAGGAAGGAAGGAAGGCATGGATAGGTGAGGAAATTGAGACTCATAGAATAGCCAAAGGAGCTCTGGTGGTGGAGTGCCTAACACATTTTACTGCTAACCAGAAGGCTCACAGTTCAACCCCAACAGCCACTCCTCCAGTCTAGGAGGATTGGGCAATCTACTTCTGTAGAAATACCACCTCGGGAACCCAAGGAAGGGCCACTATGAGTAGAATCCATTCAACGGCAGTGAGGTTTTTTTTTTTTTTTGGTTTAGAATAGCCAAAAGTCATAGAGATGAAAGTAACAGAGTCAAACCCAGAACCAACTCTTTCTATTGATCTACTCAACTTCCATGAGCATCCCTGGGATTTGAGAACCAAAAGGGTAGACTGCTCAGTCATGAAACTCAGAATTCTTGGGTGAAAACAAAGTGGGAAGTGTATACTAGCTTCTAAGGCTTGTTAATGGGCCTTAGAGAAGAAATCAACAGAAATCCAGAAACAAGACCTGGATTTAGGATTGGAATGAAGTGTAAGGAATAAACCAGACAGTGGCCCAGGAGCAGAGCTTCCTGAATGTCCAAGCCCAGGCTGCTAAGAGTTGGGTTACTAGGAAGACAAAGAGATATGTATTATTTGAGTGCCTACTAGGTGCCAGACTCTGTGAAAGAAGCTGGTCATCCAATGGGGAACCCAAAAAGACACGATCCTTGACCTTGGGGACTCTTTTTCCTATTGTGAAAATCATACATGTAAAATGTAATTCTATACAAAAACAGTGTCAAAGTGTGGTAAACAGAATTGTATGGGCTTGGGCAAGTTACTTCATATTTCCAGCTTCAGTTTCCTCAACTGTATAACATAAATAATGTTACCTACTAAGTGGGGTAGTTGTTGTCAAGCTTAATCAATTAATTCATCCATTCATTCAATTTACAAACGTTTTTGGCTGTCTGGTATGTGTTAGGCATTTTACCATATTCAAGAAGCTATAGTATTAAACAAAATAGTCACTCTCCTTCCCTCATGGAGTTAATAGTGTAGAATTATATAAACTCACTGCCATTTAGTTAATTCCAACTCATAGAAATTCCCATTGGGTTTCCAAGGCTGTAAATCTTTATGAAAGCAGAAAGCAGACTGCCTCATCTTTCTTCTCTGGCGTGGCTGGTAGGTTCAAACCACTGACCTTTATGGTTAGTAGCCAAATGTCACTACACCACCAAAGCTCCTAAGAATTATAAATATTAGACAATTTATGGGAGCTCTGGTAGCGTAGTTCCTAAGGCATTTGACTGCTAGCCAGAAGCCTGGCGGTTCAAATCCATTGGCTACTCCTTGGAAGGAAGGTTGGGCAATAGTTAATAGTTTAGAGATCAAATGAGACTTTATGTATACAGTGGCACAATAGAGATTTTTTTTTTTTCTCTTTGACTATGGTATCCATTCTCTGACCCTTGCTATTGTATAATTTGTGATAGCAACTAAGAGTCAAGGGTTCTGGGGCTTTACCACTAACAAGTTTGTGACCTTGGACAAATCAATTTCTCCTTGTAATACATTCCACACATGTAACATAAGGATTTTGTTTACCTTGGGGCTTAGAGAGTCTAGGAAATATCTTCATAACTTTTCATTTCTCTTTCTCTTACCAAGATCAATCAACGTGAATAAAAATAACGTGTCGTGTAGCAATTTTGTTGAGAGGAAAAGCAGACTCCGAGCAAAAAATGTTTGCATACTAGTGCCATCTGGTGGAAACATGTATAATTTTCTTAAACCCCACAGACGGTAACTGTTTTTTGTAAATCAACCTTGCTGATGAGTATCCTGAAACATTTAGTTCAATATTCAGAGAAGTTATTATTATTATTATTATTGTGTGTGAATAAGGGATATGATGGTGAGTAAAGTAAAACCAGGGGAAAAAATACTGGAAAATGCTGAGAAAACAAATTTTCTTTACTACTCAATCATGCAAACTACCCCATTTTCAAGGAAAGTAAAAAGGTTACTTATAAATTACTAGAATATAGTAAATATAAATTTCTTCATATGACTTATTTGTTAATATTTTAATATTTGTTAATATGGTTCGCATACCATACAGTTTACATGCTATACAATTTACCCATTTGAAGTGTTCAGTTAAGTGGTTTTTAGTAAGTTCACTGAATTGTGCAACTACTGCCCGCCACAGCCGATTTTAGAACATTTTCATCACTCAATAATAATAGAGTTTCTAATCATACATAAATGAATTACATGACTCGACGGCACATAACAACAACAACAACAACAAAACATCTGAAAAGTCTGAGGTTTGAAACAATGATTTTTAATTGCTTTTACATTAGAGAAAAGATGTGCAGGACACTTGCAAGTTAAAGTTTTTCAAGGTATTAAGACATGTAGCTAATAATGCATAATTAGCATGAGAAACACTTATGTTGTTTATTTCACATGAAATTAGATATCCCTTGAAATGTCTTCCAAAATTCTTACGAATTTCCTTTTTGAAAATGACAGAGATGATACTGTGGCTTATTTTTTAAATGCAAGGAGATAAAAAGTAGTCAATTCTTGCTTCTATTTTCCACAATTTCTCAAATCATGAGGCAATTACAGTGAGGCTTACTTAATCGGAGATATTAGTCTTCATAGGTTATAAACAAACAAACAAACAAACAAAAACCCCACTGCCATTGAGTTGACTTTGACTTGTAGAGACACTATAGGACAGAATAGCACTGCCCCATAGGGTTTCCAAAACTGTAGATCTTTATGGAAGCAGACTGCCACATCTTTCTCCCTTAGTGTGGCTGGTAGGTTCAAACCACCACCTTTTGATTAGCAGCTGAC